TATTTTTGTCCTTTACAATATGTATACAGTAGAACGTTCATGATGTTCCATGGAACTGTGATACATGTGTCAGTAATGTGTATACAATAAATGTTTATTGTCGTAATATTACCTGTTAAAAATTCACTAAAATTACAATATGTACAGTTTCATACAATATTTACACAGTAACACACTGTATTACACACTCAGTACTTTGGAAGTGAGTAATAATCAATGAAATAGTCCATGGTACACAGCGCGACTTCACTCTCAGTGCACCAGTTACAGATAAATTTTCTCTTCCTGTTTCTTCATTCTGTGTGCTTGCAAATAATGCACTCACAAACACCCTTGACTTTAATACTTGTAGGTTGTATGTAGCCAAGCTTGTAAAGCATAAGGTAGTATTGAAAAGATTATAGGAAAAGATCAATTTGTAAGGTAGTCTTGAAAAGATTGCTTTGTATGGTCCCACATAGGAAGAGATTCAGCTTGCCTCAAGGAGTGTCCATCACTCAGAAAGAAATTCAGGTATTCTTGAAAATATCTATGGAAAACACCACCATGGAAGCTGCTAACACTGTTCATCTTCGCTACTTGTATCAGATGCATCATCACTGAACGCAGAAAACGATTCATCTATGTATCATCTAAATATATTGGAGTTAGCATAGGATTGCGAGGGTGACACTCAGAGCTACAACTGGATACGCTCGCTGTATCGTCCTCATAGGTGCTGTATCACTTGTATCCGACCTTAGTGTTAGGTCCATATTATGCCTAGCTTCACCAATATTATGACCCTTATATTCTTCAAACATTAAGGTTTGAATTTCACTGACAGAGCGTTATCTTTCAACACAGTAGCGTCGGACAGGTGTTTGGGAGCCAGAGACGCATGTGCCACCCATGGTTGCTCATTCAGTACTAACCCAGCCAGCAGCCCCAGGGCATTCTGGGAATTTTTTCCAAGATGGCTGCCTCTCACTAGAGGCCCTAAGAATCCATTTTGTACACAACCAACCTCGTACACATTTAGAATTGGTACCGAAAAATCAAAAAGAGTTTTCTTAGTTGGCGCAGTTTCCCGCCGACCGAGAATACTCGTTTGGCACAATTAAGTGGTTAAGGGCAGAGTGCGTGGACAACGGTTTTGCCCGGGACCTTCTGTTGCGGGTTTCCGGGGCTGTGGGGGATGCCTGCTAGCAGTTCTGGTTCTGTTTGTCCCTGCCTGGGTTTTCTGCTTGATGACGCAGCACTGTTGGTGCTGCGTCACCAGCTTCCTCTTTGGGGTTTTCGGGGTTCCGTGCCTTGGCACCTTTCCGAGCCTTTGCTCGATGTGTTCAATGACGGGTCATCTCTCGGCTGGAGCTTTGTGACCAGTGCTTACAAGGTCAGCCGGGGATGGTGGGGTCTGTCCGTCCGTCGGGCTCTCAGCACTGTTCGGGAGTTCGTGGCTGTCTGGTTTGCGCTTCGGAGGGTTTAGGTCACTCGGTGCTCTACCATTCGGCTCCATTTGGACTGTTCTCTGGCGGTTCTTTGCTGGAACCACAGGGTTTCTCTTAGGTGTTTGACCTTTGGGGTTGGTCCCTTAGAATGGCTCGTTTGCTGGATTCTTGGGGTTTGGCTAACCGTGAGGTTCATGTCCGGGGTGTGTCCTATGTCCTGGCGGACAGCTGTCTCTGTTCATTCCTCTGTTTGCGGTTTGGCCAGTCATCGCCGACTCATTTCGTTGGCTCTGCTGGACGTATGGACTCCTGGCCATGGACGTCTTCGAGTTGGCGTGGTCTAGGCGTCGCCCATTTTATGTGGCGCCCTTTCCCACCTGCGAGGCATTCACAGTGGATGCTTTTCGGCAGGACTGGTCGAGGTAGGGGTACTTGTTCCTCTTCTCCCGGTCCAGCTATTGCTTTGGGTTCTAGCTCGGTTGGAGCCTTTTCCCACGAGAGTAGTCCTTATGATTCCTTGGTTGCCGGCCCAGCTTTATTTTCAGACACTGCTTGATAGGTGTCCGAACCCGAGGCATTTTCCCGCGGCCCCTCCTCTTTCGGCAGATCGAATCAATCCTGTATCTGACTGGTTCGGCCTTCTCCTCTGCTCTTCGCCTCTGGTATTTTGGTGTGGGTATCACCATCTCTGTGGTGATACCCACAGAGATGGGTATCTCTGGCTTTGTTGACGGTGTCCCACGTGCAAGCTTCGTCTTGGCGATAAGTATGACGTTCTGGTGTTTCTATGCACTTTTCTTGCTCTTTGTAGGTTGTCTTCTCTTTCGCATCGGGTTGTCTTGTCCTTTCTTGGGTTTTCAGGACTACAATTATTTGATGTTTCTTACTGTCGCCTCGTTTAGTGCGGCGCAGGTAGAGCCGCTCTGGCTTGTGTTCAGGGTGGACGTCACATCTGCCCCGTTCCGTATGCTTTCTCGTGTTTTGTTTCACCTCCGGCCTGTTCATGCGTTGGTTGAGTCATCCTGGTCCTTGATCAGGGTGCCCTCTTATCTTCTCCTCAGTTTGTGGTAGCCCCTTCGGTTCAGGTTTCTGCTCTTTGGTACTGGTGGTAGGTTTGTACATTTGCAGCCTTTCTCCGTTCTTCTGGTGACGGTCAAGAAGGCTGCTTTCCGAAGGGGTCCTTGGGTTATTGATGCTTGATTGGTTTGGCCCGGGGTGCGTCCTGTGTTGTCCAGTTGCGTTTTTTTTTTTTTTGCTGTTACCTGCGTACTGTGTCTGGGGATGTGCTTTGGGTTGATTCGGTTCCGTCGTTCCCTGTTTCAGGGCTCGGGTCTCCCAGGTTGTCCGCAGAGTTTTTGTCTTCCAACCTGCGGTCTGTCCTTGCGCCCGTGCTGTTTGGACGTTTGCAGCTTTTGCTGCTGTGTTGGTGACGTTTAGGGCTCATTTCGGGCGCAGGGATTTAAGGGTCGCACAGGTTCTTGGCCGCCCATTCTTTATGGGCGTGTCTGCTCCTGTGCGTTCTTGTTGCCTTGGGTCGCAGGTTGCAGCCTGTTGTTTCGGCTTCGCGTTGCGGAGTTTGTGGCGGCTGCCTCCCGGGTCAGCCTTTTCATTTCCTTCTCTTTGTGTATGAAGCTCCAGGAAGCCGTAGGGGCTCCCCACAGAAAACCAGCGTTGAATGTAATGAAACGCCATTTTCTGAGTGAGCCCCGGAGGCTCCCTGGCAACCCTCCCGCCCACCTGTCGGCAGTTTTTTCGCGTTGGTTGAAGCTTAGCTTCCGAACTTGTGCTAGGCACCCAGCGCAGTAGGTCCGGGGCTCCCCCCTCCGCCTCTCGGGGCAGGGAGGGCTGTGCGGACAATTGGCGAGGCAGTAAAGCGTGATGTTTGCTTGTTTGCTTGTTTCCTTGGGATTGTTGGGAGTTTCTACCTCTCTGTTCGGTTTTTGTTTTAGTTTTTACCATGTGGGGTTTGTTTTGTTATGCCTACTTTTCTGGGTGCCTGACCCCGGTCGATGGCAGATAAGGAAAAACCCCAGCCACAAGGGGTTTCTTCAGGGCCATTGCTCCCTGAAACCTCTCTTAAGGGGGCTTATTACGGGTTTCGTAAAAATTGTTCAATTTGTTTATAAATTTATTTATGAAAGGGTTATAGAAAGGGCTGCAACTGGTCCAAGTTTCAGCATCACACCCTAAACAGAAAAGGAGAAAAAAAAATACACAACGTATTATGCAACGAATTTTCAACATTTTCAAATAGTTTCAGGGAACACATGTGTCAACTAAAATCATTTCTATAACACTCAGATATTAAATGTAGCACATAATAAAGGATTGTAGTGATCAGTTTTATCAAAAAAGTGTTTAGTGCAATAATATAATTATTCAAAGTTACCCTTCCAAAAATATGCAATATATGATGTTTATAAATTTTTATAAAATCAACAAATGGACTTTGGACTTAAATGTCTCAATAGGTTTGTAGAAGCACAAACTCTACATATAAGGTGTAATTTGCATGTAAATTGATTAATAAATGAAAGCTCTGAAGTACTTTGAAGGTGTAAATTACTTTCCAGAGTAAAATAAAGATCCAAGTTCGGCCACCTGTAGCTGAGCTTGACTTCGACAGATTTCGTTCATAATTAGCACCCTTGCAGATAGGCATCCATTGAGCAAGGTGTGCAAGTTTCATGCAAATCCCTTGATAACAAACGAGAAAAAAAAAATTGGCCAAAAAAAAAAAGAAAAAAAAGAAAAAAAAAAAAAAAAAAAAAAAAAAAAAAAAAAAAAAAAAAAATTTTACATGTAAATATATTGCACATACATATTACAATTATTACAAGAGTTTGTGCTTCTACAGCACATAGTAGACATTTTAGTTGACACATGTGTTCCCTGAGATTATTTGAGAATGTTGAACATTCGTTGCATAATACGTTGTGTATTTTTTTTCTCCTTTTCTGTTTAGGGTGTGATGGTGAAACTTGGACCAGTTGCAGCCCTTTCTATAACCATTTCATAAAAAATTTTATAAGCAAATTGAACAACTTTTAATTTATACTGATATGCCCCCTTAAAGGGGCGAGGTTCTGGCGCTGATCCCTGGTAGGTTTGAACTCCTTAGCTAATATCCCGGTCTAATATAACATACATTAGCCCGATAAACTCCAGGGAGCCTCTGGGGCTCACCCAGAAAATCGCATTTCATTACATTCAACGCTGGTTTTTTGTATTATACTTATCTCTCTTTAGGTGAAGAAAGAGTCTAAACGTCCCAGTATTTTACATTTTATAGTAGGTTGCTGAGAAAAGTAATTTTTATATATTTGAGTTTCTCTATTTTCTGGCATTTACATTAAGCTCTGTAATACATACTGAACATGTAGATTATTGTTTCACAAGCATTGGGGAATCATGGTGATTTCCAGGTTTTAACAAACTTTATCCATGTTATTAAGGATCACAATATGTAGGTGGAGGTAAGAGTAATATAAACTGTGCATTCTGCTGATGACTTTGCTTTCATAATTATTATAATGACCCTGTAATCTACTGACTATGATGTTTTTACAGGCCACTTGCGAGATATGGTGCGGCTGTTGAAGCTGGTCGTTAACCGCTGTGATTGGCACTCTAAGTACCACCTCTGCATCTCCCACCTGCACCACCTTGCCATCAAGTATGCTGACCATCTACAGGACAAAACCATCTGTAAGTGATAACTAGGATCAGAAATAAGTCAATACATGTATGAGAAAGTGGAACTAGTGCTTTACAGCATCTGTAAAGTAATGAAGATGGTGACCTGTATTCTGACCTAAATGGAGTACAAACAATAATATATTGGTTTTATAACATAATAAATGTCCATGAATAGTGCAACTTCGATCCGGTGAACCATTTGGAACCGACCCCAATTCGTTGTGGTGATGGATTTGATGCAACAGGTTAATGCATTTTTTTTAGTAATATAAATCAAGAATTTTTCATTGTTATCTGAAGTAATAATTGCACAATAATGAATCATACTCTATCTTTATATACCTTAGAAAAGGCATGCTGTATATAATATACTGTATACAGAATTTTGCTTTAATTATAAATAAATAAGTAAATAAATAATTTTTTATTCAGGTAAGGTACATACATACAAGGTACAAAAGTTGATGGATTTATAGATAGAGCTAGTACATACAATGCCTAAAGCCACTATTACGCAAAGCGTTTCGGGCAGGAAAAACACTAAAACTAAAACGTAATACTAATTGAAATTAAAGTATAAATTGTGTTGAGAAAAAATAAGAAAAGAATGGAAAAGAAGGGGTGGGGGGGGGGAAACATGGCAGAAAAATACAAAAATACAGTTTGGTCAACAAAACAGCATTGTTTAAAATAGAAGACATGGGTTGACATTTTGGGGGTGAGGTAGGTTATATTGAGTTAATTAGGTAGTACTTAGTTTTTATCTTAAACTGGTTGGGAGAGGTACAGTCTTTAACATAATTGGGAAGGTCATTCCACATTCGAGGTCCCTTGATTTGTAAAGCATTTCTAGTTTGACTAAGTCGTACTCTTGGAATATCAAATAGGTATTTGTTTCTGGTGTGGTACTCATGGGATCTGTTACAACCTTCTAGGAAGCTTTTAAGGTCAGGACTGACATTACAGTTCAGCCTTTTATATATATAAAATACACATGAGAGGATATGCAGGGACTTAATATCTAACATATTCAGAGATTTGAGTAAGGGTACCGAGTGATGTCTGGGGCCAGAGTGAGATATTGTCCTAATAGCAGCTTTGTGTTGAGTAATTAGAGGACATAAATGATTTTCTGTAGTAGAACCCCAAGCACAAATAACGTAGTTGAGATAAGGATAGATGAGAGAATAATAGTGTCACCAGGGCAGGGCAAGGTACATAATATCTGATCTTAGAAAGAATGCCAACAGTTTTCGAAACTTTTTTGATATATTTAGAATGTGTCCCTGGAAATTCAGCTTTGCGTCAATGAGAACGCCAAGGAATTTGCCATCTACTTTGTTACAAATTTGGGTATTGTTAATCCTGAGATTTATTTGATTTGAGGATTTATTGCCAAACAAAATATAGAAAGTTTTGTCAATATTGAGGGTGTGTTTGTTAGCAGTTAGCCAGTGATGGACTTTATTTAGCTCAGTATTCATTGTGACGTTTAGAGCAAGGGGGTCAGGACTAGAGTAAATGAAGGTCGTATTGTCAGCAAATAGAATTGATTTAAAATGTTGGGAGGCATTTGGAAGGTCATTAATGTAGATGAAAAAGAGGAGAGGGCCAAGTATGCTCCCCTGAGGAACACCAATGTTGATGGGTAGGGTGGGAGAAATTGAATTATTCACAGAAACATACTGGAGCCTGTCAGTAAGGTAAGATTTGAGATATTGCGGGGAGTGTCCTCTGACTCCATAATGATGTAATTTAATAAGAAGGTTTTGGTGGTTAACAGTGTCAAAAGCTTTACGCAGGTCTACAAATAACCCAACAGGGAACTCATTTTTATCAAGAGATGTATGTATCAAGTTAATCATACTAATAAGTGCATCGTTAGTGCTTTTTTGGGGTCTGAAGCCATATAGACAAGAACTAAGTATATTGAGTTTGGCTAGATAAGAGTAAAGCAGCTTATAGATTAGTTTTTCAAATATTTTTGATAAGTTTGACAAAATTGATATAGGTCTGAAGTTGTTAACATCAAGTGGGATCACCACATTTGTGGACAGGGGTTACTCTCGCTTTTTTTAGAATATCTATTTATTTATTTATTTATTTATTTATTTATTATTTATTTATTTATTTTATTTTATTTATTTATATACAAAAAGGTACATTGGGTTTGTGAGAATACATAGCATAGTACAGTAATTGCACTCTTGTAAAGCCACTAGTACATGCAGCGTTTCGGGCAGGTCCTTAACCCTCAAACCGCGCATATCATATATAAATGATATCAGTGACAAAACCGAAACCGCGCACATCATTTATATATGATTTCGTGTCTAGCGCTATAATTTAAACGCCCCGCCTGGGATAGGGGCAGCTATAGTACAGCCACAACCGATAGTTGCCAGATGCTACCTAGAAAAAAAATCCAGGCCAACATTCTTGGGTGTTACAGCGTCAGTATTGAGCAAGCCACCAAGGCTGGCGCACGCAGCACGAGCTCACAGCACCGCTGTTCAGCTTGTGACCACAGCATCGCCTACAAATACCATAATATAAATGATACTGCTATTATTTAGCAGTGAAGCAGTGATAGTATTACTGAAGCCCCCTGACTGTGATAAAACTGACCAGGATTCTGATAATAGCAGGATTGTGGTGATATTTAGCGCTGTGCTCCATGGAGGGAGGAGTAAGGCTGTGGGAGGGAGGGTTGTGGCGTCGTTTTCTGACTGTGTGTGGCCACCATTTATTGAGTGCACTCACTATACCAGCTTAGTGGTTCGATATGGTGAACACAAATGTAGATACTTATATATAACGTGTGTATAGTGTGAGGTAACAGCGAGAGGAGTAGGTTGGGAGCCGCCATTTTGGTAAGGGAGGAGTGTCGTCTGCACGAATTGGCATGTTGTTTACTGATGGCCACTATGGTCTTTGGGCACCATACCAGCTTATTTGTTCAGGTATGGTGAATAAAACAGGTAGATACTTATATATAATGTATGTATATAGCGTAATAACACCACAAACAATATTGTTGACGGACAAATATTAGTGCGTCTGGCCTTGAGGGCGGCCGCCGATCAGTTGACTGTGTGAGTAGCTACGTCTTATGGCCTTTACTCACCATTCAAGCTTAGATGTACAGTTATGGTGAACAAAACATGTAAATACGTATATATAGCGTTTGTGTATAGTGAATAAATACAGAAACAGTATTCTGAGAAGTGAATGAGGGTGAGTGAGGTGGTATTGAGGGAGTGGCAGTGAGTGGCTCGCTGGTGTTTGGCGATCACTCCTCGTTGCTTTTTGACTCACTGTTATAAATAATGGTGTGTGTTGTGCTTCTATGGGGAACTGGTACTACTAAGGGGTAAGGGTAGTTAGAAGACAGAGTATCAAATATGGGAGAGCTAAAAGGCCCGGCCCCCAAAATAAACTATCCACAGTAGTAATAACTTGCTACTAGACCATATATGTTAGTCTAAGGGTTGATCAATGCGCTCCCACGCAGGAAGAAGGGATACTCTGTAATTCATGTACTTATTTATTAACCCCTTAACAACCCCCCATATACACTCACACCAATAACAATAATAATAATAACTTTACCACACTATCTTACGTTAAAAGCCTTGGTCCACGTAGGCAGGATACAAGGTTTACACTAATAACAAGCTAGGGTAAAGTACTACTGGATAAGCACTGAAGCTGGATGCAGCTTAGGGTAGTGAGACCATGTGGTACCCTAATACAATACACAACACTTAGGGTTACCCAAAACACTGGCAACTACTACCCCCAGGTCTCACCAATCGTTACTACCAGAGTATTTACACTTAGAAATCATACAATACTTAACTTAATGGTACAGGAACTTAGGGTAAGGGAAATAAGTAAGAGGAGAAGGGAGGAGATTAGGGGTGCAGCCACAGAGTAGGTCTCGTGCGCACGAACGCCAGCCAGAGGAGGAACCTCCTAGCGACCAGCTAGGCCTCCCATGTCGTGGTGCCGGAAGGAGCCTAATTGATCGTGCAGCTAAGCACATTAAAGATCTTCCCCTATGCAACGTATTGTTACTTTACAAATGATTAGAAAGTATTAGTAAGCAAAGTTGGTGCCTATGTTATTATTTAATAATCAACCCCCAGCTCAGTCTTTAAATGCTCTTTGAGAAACAATAATAGTCTTACGTCTGACAGGGAAGATACAAACAATTGCCGTTCGTGATGCACTCAACTGTACTATCAGAAAGTTTAATAGCTCAAGTTTTGACCTCTGGTTTTTACTGGAGAACCCAGGGTCGTAACACTCACAAGACCAACTTAGTAGTTCGTTATGGTGTACAAAACATGCAAATTCATATATATAACCTGTGTATATAGTGTAACAACAGCAAAACTATTTGTTTATTGTTTTATGAACATAATAATTGAATCACTAATATGCACACCATAATTTTGAGTACAGCGATGGTTCACACATTTTATAATATAAATATACCCCAATTCCCTGTATGGAATAATATTACTGCAAAAAACCTAAGAAAAAATCAGAGACATTGAAATAATTAGGTAATAATATATTTGTGGCAACTGCCGTCTAACAGCTCGGGCGGAGTAGACCTCGTCTGGCAAAGGCTCTGCCAACACCCCTTTTTTGCCACACTTTTCTACCCTATTGCGGCTAAAATATGCCATTTACGATTTTTTTGTTATTTTTTCCGTGATCAGGGAACAAAAATGAACACTTCTATGAGACGAAAGAATTTTTTTATTTTTTTTTGTTGTGCCTGTGGGTGTAATTACCTAAGTGTAATTACCTAAGTGTAGTTACAGGATGAGAGCTACGCTCGTGGTGTCCCGTCTTCCCAGCACTCTTTGTCATATAACGCTTTGAAATTACTGACGGTCTTGGCCTCCAGCACCTTCTCACTTAACTTGTTCCAACCGTCTACCACTCTATTTGCGAAGGTGAATTTTCTTATATTTCTTCGGCATCTGTGTTTA